CACTAGCAGGCACACACACAAACTCACTAGCAGGCACACACACACACACACACACACACACACAGAGGCTCCCTCACTAGCAGATGCGCGCACACACACACAGAGGCAGACAGTCACTGACACCGAGGCAAACACCCACACATACAAAGACAGGCAGACAGCCACACACATACACAGGCAGACAGTCACACACTCTCACACACACACACACACACACACACACACACAAGCAGACAGTCACACACACACAGGCAGACAGTCACACACTCAATCACACAGACAGTCACACACTCACACAGACAGTCACTCACAGGCAGTCACACAGAGGCAGTCACACACTCAAAGGCAGTCACACAGACAGTCACACACAGACTCACACAGACAGTCACACACTCACACAGACAGTCACACACAGACAGTCACACACTCACACAGTCACACACAGACAGTCACACACTCACACACAGTCACACACAGACAGTCACACACAGACACACTGACCTGCTTCTTACCTCCTGCTTGGAGCTCCTGGAGGCTGGTTGTTGGGGAAGCAGGGACTCCTTCCTGCTTCCCATGCTGCAGTCAGCCAGGCCCCGCCGCACAGTAAGCCCCGCCCCCGCCGCATGCTAAGCCCAGCCCCGCCGCACGTAAGCTCCGCCCCCACCACAAATTTTTTTTTATGACCCGGCCGGCCGTGTGTGAGCTGTGCCGGCCGCCTGGCTCCCCTTGCTCCCATGGGGCTCTGTGCGGCCCACAGCTCACACATGGCCGGCCAGGAGCACAGGAGCTGCACAGGAGCTGTCAGCCCAATGATCAGGGCTGTCAGACCGGCCCCAGGTGCCGCGGCCCACCGGGAAATTTCACGGTATCCCAGTGGGCCAGTACGGCCCTGCAAGTGGGCACAGTATACGCTGCGAGCCTGACACACAGACGCTTGCAGACAACTAACTGCTATTCAATCTATTACAGTGAAATACATTTTTTTTTTTTTAAATGCAAGGTATTGTGACACCAGTGAGTGAGTGGTGGCACTGGGCAAGTGGGCACAGTATCCACTGTGAGCCTGACACATAAGCTGGCAGACAACTAACTGCTATTCAATCTATTATAGTGAAAAAAAATAAAAAAAATTTTAAATGCAAGCTGTGGTGGCACTGGGCAAGTGGGCACAGTATCCACTGTGAGCCTGACACAGAAGCTGGCAGACAACTAACTGCTATTCAATCTATTACAGTGAAATAAATTTTTTTTTTAAATGCAAGCTATTGTGACACCAGTGAGTGAGTGGTGGCACTGGGCAAGTGGGCACAGTATCCACTGTGAGCCTGACACAGAAGCTGGCAGACAACTAACTGCTATTCAATCTATTATAGTGAAAAAAATATATTTTTTTTAAATGCAAGCCATTGTGACACCAGTGAGTGAGTGGTGGCACTGGGCAAGTGGGCACAGTATCCACTGTGAGCCTGACACAGAGGCTGGCAGACAACTAACTGCTATTCAATCTATTATAGTGAGAAAAAAAAATTAAATGCAAGCTATTGTGACATCAGTGAGTGAGTGGTGGCACTGGGCAAGTGGGCACAGTATCCACTGTGAGCCTGACACAGAAGCTGGCAGACAACTAACTGCTATTCAATCTATTATAGTGAAAAAAATATATTTTTTTTAAATGCAAGCCATTGTGACACCAGTGAGTGAGTGGTGGCACTGGGCAAGTGGGCACAGTATCCACTGTGAGCCTGACACAGAGGCTGGCAGACAACTAACTGCTATTCAATCTATTATAGTGAGAAAAAAAAATTAAATGCAAGCTATTGTGACATCAGTGAGTGAGTGGTGGCACTGGGCAAGTGGGCACAGTATCCACTGTGAGCCTGACACAGAGGCTGGCAGACAACTAACTGCTATTCAATCTATTATAGTGAAAAAAAAAAAAATTAAATGCAAGCTATTGTGACACCAGTGAGTGAGTGGTGGCACTGGGCAAGTGGGCACAGTATCCACTGTGAGCCTGACACACAGGCTGGCAGGCAGGCAACTGCAATTACATTACAGAAAAAAAAAACAGACTGATGTTCTAGCCCTAAAAAGTGTAAAAATTCAAACTTAAATGGCTGTGTCAAATGTGCTCCTTCAACGTTGTCATATACCTGGTAAAGGTACATACAGGAGTATTGCTGTACTCAGTTGACATAGCAGAGCAACATATGTATTATCCTGCTGTAGCACATATATAAATATATACAAATATATATTACAAACTCGTGTGTGTCAAAAAGGCATAAAAAAATGCTTATTACCACTACACTTGGTATAAGCCAGTGGGAAAAATATATCACGCTAAGGTTCAAAATACGTCTTTTGAAATACCCTATGGTGTCTTCTTTAAGGAATGGTATGCCTTTATGGGGTAGCTGGAATAATTAACCTACAAAAAAAAAACTCCAAAAGTGGGGTATGGACACAGCGTACAAAATGTAAAGTTTAAAAAAAAAACTTAAATGGCTGTCTCAAATGTGTCCCTTCAATGTCCACATATACCTGGCAAAGGTACACATGGGGGTGTTTCTGTGCTCAGATGACATAGCTGAGTAAGATAGGAAGCATTATATAGCCGTAGCAAACATAAGGTTTGCAAAATATACAGTACAAACTCACTGTGTGTCAAAAAAAAGCAGAAAAAATGCCTATTACCACTACACTTGGTACAAGCTAGCGGGAAAATGATTTCACGCTAAGGTTCAAAATATATCTTTCAAAATACCCTAGGGTGTCTTCTTTAAGAAATGGTATGCCTTTATGGGGTAGTTGGAATAATTAACCTTCTAAGAAAATTCCAAAGTGCGGTATGGACCCAGCGTAAAAATTCTACGTTTGAAAAAAATCTTAAATGGCTGTGTCTGAAATGTGTCCTTTCAACGTCCACATATACCTGGCAAAGCTACATAAGGGGGTATTGCTGTGCTCAGACTACATAGCTGAGCAAGATAGGAAGTATTATATGGCCGTAGCAAAAATAAGGTTTGCAAAATATACAGTACAAACTCACTGTGTGTCGAAAAGGCAGAAAAAATGCTTATTACCACTACACTTGGTACAAGCTAGCGGGAAAATGATTTCAGGCTTAGGTTCAGAATATGCCTTTTGAATTACCCTGGGATGTCTTCTTTAAGAAATAGTATGCCTTTATGGAATAGTTGGAATATATAGCCTGCTAAAAAACTCCAAAGCAGTCTGCTAACAAATTTCAAAATAGAATACGGATCATTAAAACCCTCCATGTAACTTCACACTTAAAAATCTGAACTTGTCACGTCTCTATTACAGCACTGTAACTTCACAAAATAGTGTCTAGGACGGTCATACATTGGGCTTATTGTTTTACTCAGAAGAGGTAACTGAGCATACTTAGGGGGAATTTATGACAATGGTACTTATCAAATGTAAGAAATACCCAGCGAAAATGCATCATGTATGTAAAAAAAAAAAAATTTTTCTCATCACAAAATTTGAAATAAATTGGTGAAAAAATGGTTGCAAGTTAAGGTATAATATATGCCTAATAAGATAACCTGGAGTGTCTGCTTTCTCAAACGGAAGGCCTTTGTGAGGTTATTTGAACAGTTAAATGACTATAATGCCACAAAATCAGACATATGACCATCTATGAAAATTCCAACAATAGAAACTGAAATAGCATGGTCTCCTATATGGCACTGTAGCTTCACAGAATAGGGGAAAAGGTATGCAATGGGGGTATTGTTGTACTCAGCAGATGTAGCACACACCAGCTTTACGAAATACACATTACAAGAACCTTATTATATGTGTATATGCCAAAATAGAGAAAAAACTCAATTTTACTCCAAAATTTAGCAGAGATTGGAGGTGAAATGGCTACGTAAAAAGTGTCAAACTAACTTTAGGTAAATAGCCTGTGATGTCTACTTTATATAAATATATACTTTTGTGTGGCAATTTTGTTTCCTGTAATAGGTATTAAACTTCCAAGACAAACATACCAACTTCAAAAATTTGTTTCACATTGAAATTTTATTTTAGACCTTGTAGTTTTAGACCTTGTAGTTTGTGTAGTTTCAAAATAAACTGAAATCCTACACATATTATGTACTTTGTAAATCAAGACACATAAATTAATTGATTTTAAATTACTTTTCCTTAGCTGGACATATGCACACATTATTATTGCCAAAAATTGGGGGGAAAAAGCATTTTTTTTGTCCCCACCCCCCCATTATTTTGCATTTTTTTGTAATAAATGAGAATTTATATATGTATGTGTCACATCAAATTAAAGCCCTTTTTGTTGTCTAAAAAACGGTATATAATATGTGTTGGTACAATAAATGAGAGAGATGCAAATTGCAGTTGAACACAGACGGCCAAAAATGCAAAATTTGCTTGTGTCCTTAAGGGGTTAACTAATGTATATGATTATTTTGACACATTTTATTGTCATTGAGATAGATATCTTTTGTTTTATTGCATGATACACTTTATTGAAACACAATGATAGTATTTTGTTCACTATAAGGTTTTAGATTTAAAAATTATTTGGTAACTAATATTTTGCGCGCAAAATATCAACTCAAATGGTTGCCGCAGGTGACACTTGGTAAATATTTGAATTAACACTTAGCACCATTACACTGATTTTGCGTCACTTTATCAATTAGTGATTTGTTAAGTATCGAACTGTGTCTATTATGTATCCAGGAGAGCGCACATAGACTATAATGTATCTGTGCTTCATGACAGCAAAAGTGAGCAGGGCAATGACAGGAGATTCTACCGATAGAATTACACGCTCGACCTTTGGAACTGACCTACTGCTATATTTTTCAAGAAGCACAAAGCTGTATAGCCAGTGACGTGTATGTACGTCCTGTGGCATATCACAACGAGGAAGTCTGTAATGTGCTCCTTTTCCTCCCAAAGTCATAGAGTAAAAGACAGAGCGGTCGCTAGTTGGTCACGTGATTGCCGCACAGTGAAGCCAAAGCTGCCTGTTGCCCGTCGATGTACTCGGCACTGCCCTCTGGAGGGAGCCTGGGTGGTTGGTGCAGGCGGCTCTTGTCGGACATTCCCTAGGTGAGCTATCTGTTTAGCTAGATGTCGTGACTTTCATTTTGTGAAACACGTTTTTCTTGGCGAGTTCTATGATAGCCATGTTTTGTGGACGGATGGAGAAGGGGTAGCATGGGGAGGGCATTGCTCGTGGTCACTGTGTAGCTCTCTGCAGTAATGGCACCCAGTGGGGTCGTAATAAGACCACAGATAACCTGTTAAAAGCCATTTCATGCTCAAGGTCTCTTAACATATTTTGTATTATTTTTTTCCCCACCAATGCCATGTGCAGCATTTTAAAGTTTAATCAGCAGCATTAATTTTGTGTGGTTGCAAAAAAAAAATGAGCATAACAGTTGTACATTCATGTGTATTGTAGCTAAATTGTACACACATACTATCCATGTGTCCCTATTTAGGACCAAAATCCATATGCCCCTCTTTTCTAGGAGTTTTTGTTGTAAATTATATCTTCGTTGCAATAATTTCTCAAAACAGTCACAATCCCAACCCTAAAATGAAACTGTCCCTGTTTGTCCATTTGAAATATAGGTGATAGTTACATTTGCCTCATGGCAAAAGGACACAACACTGAGAAGCCTATTATATGAACTGAACAGAAACTTATAAATGACAGTTAAAGTACTATTCTTGATACTCTCATATCAGTAGGAACCAGTCCTCCATATCAGTGGGACATAAGCATTGGTCCTAATAGAACAATCATGGCTCAAACAGTAAAGAAACAAAACCGGAACCATTGGCAATAGGGTGACTTGGACACAGGAAAAACAAATGTCTACACATTTTGTGTTTAAACTTTATCAAGAGAAATTCTATCAATTGCAAGCTCTCATCTTTAAATGAATTTTAAAAAAGTTTGTCTTATTTGTATAATTGCAACTTTCATGGGCATGGCGTTGCCACTTATAATTGCATACAAATGATAACCACATGGTTCTAATTTTGGGGAGTGTATATTTTAGGTATTTTACCCTCCATTCAAATAAGAGAGTTTGCACTTGATAGGATTTGACTTGATAAAGTTTAAAAATGAAATGTGTAGACATTTTGTATGTCCTGTGCCTATTTCTGTAACTCAGTAGTACACTATTGTTGGAAGATGCTATTTTAAGTCTCTATAGGGTGAATACATTGTGGATTTTATTTTAGGAACTCTTCAGGCTCCATAATCACTGAATCATGATTAACAGCTCTCCTAGGGTCTCTCGCAACCCGCTTCCCTGTGCCTACTCAATAGTTGTACATTCTACACTGAGCTTAGCCCAAAGGTTCGGGGCTTCATTTGTTAACTGAAAGCCCTCAACCTATGAGCTAGAGTAGGGACTAGCTCATTGGAACTAATGGAATCTCATTGCAATAGCATCCAGTTACAAAGGAGGCAATTGCAGGCTAGTCAAACCATTCTAATGCTGTTTGAGTTCTAACTCATTTTAAACTCATTACATTTTGATAAGATCTATTTTTTTGGTTTGATAGATTATATAACTGATACTAAAGGGGTTAAGATATTGTGGTACATAACTTTTATACTACTGATACTTGCTCAAGTTCTTTTCTCAGTGCAAACGTTTGTATAAACACAGCATTGATGCTTGTATGATAAAATTCCCCCATTTAATTAACATTGAACCTATACCTCTCCTAACTACCTACACTGTAATGTATTTTTTTTTGTTTCTTTCTCAGGTTTTAAAATGGCGATATGCCGATGTGTTACAAACAGGGCTGTCTGGTTCAAAAGCTTTACAGTACATTTGTGCTATAAGCCGATTCATGCTCATTATATACATACAAGGGTTTGTGGAAGCCTTTCTCTCAAAAGCTATAATTTAGGTTTGAATCGGCACAAACCATTTACATCTGCTATAAAGTCTCATGCTTCTTCCAGAAGTTCCTTCTTCGGACACAGTTTGTCATGGCTTCAACAGAGCAGGAGTATAGTGTTGTCAGCCCCACTATCATCTACCTCCCCTGGGAATCCAAATAGTGGACATGGTCTATATGAAGTCTTGGCAGATTCTGCCCCTGTTCACCTAGCAGAAAATGTTTTGGTTACCCTCCAGGAAGCTACAGGACTGCCATGGTGGGCAAATATTATCTGTGCTACTATAGCACTCAGAACAGTAGTCACTCTCCCATTGTCTGTATACCAGATGCACATATTGGCCAAGGTGGGTATTCAACATGATTGGAGTAAATTCAATGTTTAATTGACTTGGATATATGATATGTATTTGCCAAATATGTTAAAGGAATATTGCAAGCACTACAGCACACTGTAGTGGTTATGGCGCCAGGCATGCTTTATTGCCCAATCAATGAAAGTATTCAAAACAATTTAGAACTGTTTGACTACTTACCTTTGGTCCCCTAGCACAGTTACTTGCCTCCACTACCTCAGCCAGAGAGCCAGAAGTTTTCTCTCTGAGCTAATCCGTGCAGTGCAGGTCTTTGCTCATTGTCTGAGAGCGATCAGCTAACACTCTGAGCTAAGCAAGACCTCTCTGGCTGTGGCAATGGAGGCAGGCAGCCATACCAGTTGGACTTCAGGTGAAAAGTCCAACTGTTCCATAAAAAAAAAAAAAAAATGATGCATTCAATGATCTATTAAAGCAGAACTGTGATGCCGAACTTACCTTTCACCAATCGCGTCCTCTTCCTCTCTCATGATCTATGCTTCATTTCTTCCTAACTGATCTATTTTTCTTTAAAACATAAGACAAAGTAGGGACTACTTTGTCTTATGTATTTTTCCTACGCTTGACCAGCTTTAACCTAGAGGAGGGGCTGAGCCCACTTCATTTCCTCTAGTAAAATAAATGTTTCCACAATACACCTATCTCCTCCATTTTCTTGTGTTGTTGTCGTTGTCATCATTTTTATAGCACCAACAGATTCCGTAGCGCTTTACAATATTTTGAGAGGGGGATGTAACAATAAATAGGACAATTACAAGAAAACTTACAGGAACAATAGGTTGAAGAGGACCCTGCTCAAAGAGCTTACAGTCTATAGGAGGTGGGGTATTAGAAACATTAGGACAAGAAATATCAAGTAGGAGTGAAGCAGAGCTGGAGGAGAGAGCAAAGCACTGTCCCATAGGAGAGAGCAGGAGACAGGTATGTAAGGTAGAGATTATTCTGGGAGGCCATAAGCTTTCCTGAAGAGATGGGTTTTAAGGCCCTTCTTAAATGATTGAAGACTAGGGGAGAGTCTGATGGCAGTAGGCCAGCTATTCCATAGGAGAGGAGCCACCCGCGAGAGGTCCTGCAAGCGCGAGTTGGCCGTACGGGTGCGAGCAGCGGTCAGGAGGTGGTCACGGGCAGAGCGGAGGGTACGAGGATGGGCATATCTATGGATTAGTGAAGAGATATAAGTGGGGCTAGAATTGTTCAGTGCTTTAAATGTGTGGGTTAGCACTTTGAGTTGACTCCTATAGTGTTGCTTCATTCGCTGTTCGAACGCTGGCGAAACTACAGAATTTCGTCCTTACAAAATGAGAACACTTTGTCCATTCGTGTTAGGACGCAATTCAGTACTTTTTGTTCAGTCTGAAATTTCATTCGAATTAATGTAATTTTGATCTTATTCGTGCTGCGGCTGCATCTTGCAGCTGCTTAGTAAATAGCTCCCTAATTCATACGATATTCGTTGTAGGGATTGACCAATATTGATTTTTTATTTTTTTTTTATTTTTTATTTTTTTTTGAGCCGATACCGATAATCTGTGAAGTTTCAGGCTGATAACTTACCGATATTTTGTACATTTACCATTTTGAAAAAACAAACTATTTCTATACAAATCTACTGTTAACTGAACATGTTTAAATTATTATTTTTTTTTTTTTTTTAGTTCTACATGACACTTTAACTGTGAATGTCATAATACTGTTTGCTTTTACTGCAATAAAATACACATTTGTATTCAGCAAAGTCTCACGTGTAAAATAGTACCCCCTATGTACAGGTTTTATGGTGTTTTGGGAAGTTACAGGGTCAAATATAGCATGTTACATTTGAAATTGAAATTTGCCAGATTGGTTACGATGCCTTTGGGACTTTATAGTAGCCCAGGAATGAAATTTACACCCATAATGGCATACCATTTGCAATAGTAGACAACCCAAGGTGTTGCAAATGGGGTATGTCCAGTCTTTTTTAGTAGCCATTTGGTCACAAACGCTCTAATAAAATGCCTATTAGTGGGGCACCAATAAAAATAATTAACAGGGGTAACATAGTGTCCCCCCCGAGACCCCAGTCGTTCATCGCGAGTGGTGGTCACTAAACGGGGGACCTAGTGTCCCTCCCACACCCCTATGAGCGGCGGTTAAGGGCCCTAAGATACAATATGTTGGGGCACCTACCATACAGTTGTGCTCAAAAGTTTGCATACCCTTGGAGAATTGGTAATGTATGTACCATTTTTAAAGAAAGCATGAGTAAGCAGGCAAAATACATTTCTTTTAATTCTTATGGAATTCATATTCAACTGTAGGTTATAACAAAATGTACGGTCATAAAATAAAACATGGCAAAAATGAAAAAATTGACCCCTGTTCAAAAGTCTGCATACCTTTAGTTCTTAATACTGTGTATTGCCCCCTTTAGCATCAATGGCAGTGTGCAGTCTTTTTTAATAGTTGTCTATGAGGCCCCTAATTCTTGCAGGTGGTATAGCTGCCCATTCATCTTGTTAAAATGCCTTCAGGTCATGCAAAGTCTTTGGTTGTCCTGCATGAACCACACGTATGAGATCTCCAGAGTGGATCGATGATATTAAAGTCAGGAGACTGTAATGGCCACTCCAGAACCTTCACCTTTTTCCCGCTGTAACCACAGAATTCTGCTTAGGGTCATTGTCATGCTGCAAAGTCCCAAGAGCATCGATTGCATAGCCTTTGTGCAGAAGGATGTGAATTGCCTGCCAGTGTTTTCTGATAACATGCTGAATTAATTTTGCCATCAATTTTGATTCCCCATGCCTTTAGAGCTCAACCCCCTCCCCCAAACATAACCCACCACTATGTTTCACAGTGGGTTTGGTATTCTTTTCACAATAGGCCTTGATGACCCCTCTCCAAGCATAACACTTATGGTTGTGACCATAAACTCCATTTTGGTCTCATCACCCCAAATTAGTGTGCCCGAAGCTGTGAGGCATGTCAAGGTGTTGTTGGGCATATTGTAACCGGGCTTTTTTGTGGCATTGGCACAGTACAGGCTTCTTTCTGGCAACTACACCATGCTGTTCCTGTTTGTTCAAGTATTGTTCTACTGTGCTTCTTGGAAAAAGCACACCATATTTTTCCTGAGCAGCCTGTATTTCTCCTGAGGTTACCTGTGGGTTTTTCTTTGTATCCTGAACAATTCTTCTGGCAGTTGTGGTTGAAATATTTCTTAGTCTACCTGACCTTGGCTTGATATCAAGACATCCCCGAATTTTCCTCTTCTTAATAAGTGATTGAACAGTACTGATTGTATTTTCAAGGCTTTAGATATCTTTTTATATCCTTTTCCATCTCTATGAAGTTCCATTACCTTGTTACGTAGTTCTTTTCTGCTCCCGATGGCCTGGTATCTAGCTTGCTCAGGTCATCCACGTGAGAGCTAACAAACTCATTGACTATTTATACACTAATTGCAATTTTAAAAGCCACAGGTGTGGAAAATTAACCTTTAGTTGCCACTTTAACCTGTGTGTGTTACCTTGTGTGTCTGTAACAAGGCAAAACATTCAAGGGTATGTAAACTTTTGATCAGGGCCATTTGGGTGATTTCTGTTCTCATTATGGTTTAAAAAGGAGCCAAACAACTATGTGATAATAAATGGCTTCATATGATCACTATCCTTCAATAAAATAATTTTTTTAATTTTTTTTTTTTCTTGCATGATCACTTGTATTTTCAAAATCAATGTCAAAATTTCTGTCAGGGTATGTAAACTTTTGAGCACAACTGTATTATAACTAACTCTTGGGTGATTCATCATGGGTAATTTCAGGAAGGAATATCAAATTATCCAGAGGAAATGGAAAACGGCAAATGGCACTCATTTAAAAGATGTAATCTTCTGTACCTAGTCAAACAAATCTCCATAAGTTAAGAATTCATTGTACGTAATAATACTGAAATTGATTAATTAATAAAAAGGTATTGACTCCTCACCCTACTCTGAATTTTGGCCAACCCTGTATAAGTTTACATTGATTCTGAACTAGCAAAGATCTCCTCCACCGTGCCAGTGTTGCTTTCTGTGGTGGGGGAAGCACATGAGACTCTAGTCTGAATGTCTGCCAGGTGCAGACTGAAAATATTTCTCCAGTGAGCCTGGCCATTCAGAGCATTGCATCAGATTACCATGTCAATGCTCTGATAATAAACAGTGCCATGATTTGGTAAGAGGTAGAGTCCATTGCCACTGGACCATCTGGGATCGATATGTCACCCTCCCTGGCCAAAGATAAGAGGCAGAGAGTGGGGTAATAAGATGTAACAAAGCATTTTTAATTATTTATTAAAAAATATATAAAGTTGCTCCCTTATTCCACCCAACAAATTTGCACACACACATTATCTATCCCTCTCCCTCATTTCATAAAGTTAAAAGGTGGAATCAACGTTTCAGTCCTTTTTCAGGACTTTCATCAGGATCAATACATTACAAACCATTAAATTTTTTTTATATACATACACATACACATACAAGACGGGGTTGGCTGCACTCACCTTAACATGCATAAATGGGGGTGCTGCTGGGGGCCAAATAATACAATACACAAGATCCAGCGCACTCACCTATCCACTAAACAGCAACTTCAATGTTAAAAGATTTTATTTGTTTTTTTAAAAACACCTAATCTAGGCAAAAATAATGGGGTTTAGTTACATTATGTGATCATACATTGCATAAGCCTGCCACAACATCAATGTACCCCATCTTTGGCAGGTCCTACACTAACAGCCTAATGTCTGCTCTTATGAGATTAACCTACTTGGGGAAAAAAATTCCATCTGGGGCTCTCTGCAGTACAAGGCTAAATAGGGCCCTGGGATTGGTGGGGTCTGGGTGTATTGTTTTATGCATACATTAACACACACAATGCCTGATTTCAAACCAAACTAATGCAATTTAATCCTTCTGCAAAATCATAAGTTGGATATTTGGTTGTAAGTTTGTTTTATGCTGTGGTGTGCAGTTTTTAGTAATGCATAGTGATACTCTAAAAACACATTTTATAGTGGTTAAAACTCAATAGGCCACTTCTTGTTTAGTTTATGGATTTTAGTCTTCAGCCTGGGTTTATATGTTTGCATTGGGAGGTAAAAAAAAGATAGCTGTTCTGTTGTTAATCAATTTAAAACTTTTACCGTTTCTCTCCAGCTAGGTGGAAAAGTTGCAGCCTGAGATAGAACAGTTAACGAGACGTTTACGTTATGAGGTTTCAGTTTACGGCAAACAACATGGTTGGAATGATAAAGTTGCTAAGTAAGTTACTTTTTTATATATATTATATATGAAAAATGAGCTGAACATTCATATGTTAAAGGTGTGCCGCTGGGGCCAATTTATACAACAAACCTGATTCCGTGCACAAATCCATTCACTAAACAGCACTTTCAAAGTTTACAGAAAATAATCGTTTTGTTTTATTTTTTTTAAAGTGACAGAATGTACTTTTAAAAATGTTTAATTTTAACCCCTTAAGGACGGCTGGTGTTCTATGCCATCCTTAAGGGGGCGACCCTGAGTGTCCCTGCTGTCCTGGGGACTCACCCAGCCCCCACCAATCCCACGCCGGTGGTTGCGATCCTGGGGACTGCCTGAGAGCCAAGCCAGTCCTCCACTGGGGGAAATACTAATGTGAGTGTGGCCATTGCCACGCATGTGCATTAGATCTTCCCCACCAGCTGACGGTGAGGGTTGAGTGGAGGCGGTGCCAGAACCAGCGCTGAGGCAAAGTTAAGTGACACGCCATATAAAATACTCTGGAGTGTCTGCTTTCTCAAATGGAAGCCTTTTGTGATGTTATTTGAACCGTTAAACTGCTATAAGGCCACAAAATGAGACATAGGCCCATCAAATACATTTATAAAAATTCAAACACAGAAACTGAAATAGCCTGGTTTCTTATATGGCATTGTAGCTTTACAGAATAGTGGCAAAGGCATACAAAGGGGATATTGTTGTACTCAGCAGACGTAGCTGAACACAATATGGGGTTCTATACAGGAATTGCTCACACCAGTTTTACGAAATACACTCTACAAAAACCTTGTTATATGTGTATTTGCCAAAATAGAGAAACACAATTTTACTCCAATATTTAGCAGAGAATGTAAAAAGTGTCAAAATAACCTTAGGTAAATAGCCTGCGATGTCTACTTTATATAAATATATACTTTTGTGTGACAATCTTCTTTTTTTTTTTTTTGTGGTGGCTACTAAAATTGCAAGACAAACATACCAACTTCTAAAATTGTGTCACATTGAAATTTTATTTCAGTCCTTGTATCTTGTGACCTGTAACTTTCAAAATAAGCTGAAATCCTATGCATATTATGTACTCTAGAATTCCAGAGACACACACACATGATTTGATTTTGAATTAATTTTCCTTAGCTTGACATATTATGACCATGTTATTATTGCATAAACTGTGGAAAAATTGTATTTTTTTTTTTTTTTTTCATTCCCACCCCCCACCCGCCATTTTTTATAAATAGTGTATATGTGACATTGAATTAAAGCCCTTTTTGTCCTCTAAAAAACGGTGTATAATATGTTTGCGCAATAAAAAGAGAGATGCAAATTGCGGTTGAGCACAAACCACAAAAAAATTAAAAAATTGCTTGTGTCCTTACGGGGTTAAAGAAAGCTTTTGAAGCTGTGTCCTTAATGGGTTAAATAATGTTAACATCAATAATGTTAATTAAAATTATTTTTTCAACAGATTTCATTTTACCAAAAACTTAAGAAGAATTATCTCAGATCTGTATGTTAGAGATAATTGTCATCCTTTCAAGGCCAGTCTGATAATATGGATCCAGATCCCTATGTGGTTATTTGTATCTCTTGCTCTGAGAAAGATCAGCTTTTGTACATCAGCTTCAAGTGGAGGTAGGTCAGCACTGAAATTGCAAAGTACAATTGTTGCAAAACCCCAAGACATTTTACATAGTTAAAAGTGGTTAAAGTAGCAGCATGCCATCTATATTCACTAATAGCGGCACTGTCGTGCCAAACGAACCTTTCCCCAATCTCTTCCTCTTCTCTTCATCTCTCAGGATCTGTTCTTCTTTTCTTCCTATCTGATCTAGTATTCTTTAAAACATAAGATAAAGTAGTTGTCTTATGTATTTTTCCTATGCTTGACCATCTTTGACCCAAGGAAGAGCTTAAGTGAGCTCCATTTCTAGTGGTCAAAGAAATTTTCCCACAATACTCCACTCTTCTCCTTGATTTAGCATTGCTTCATTCACCGTTTGAACGTCCTGTCATTTAGACAGGACGCTGGCGAAACTACCGAATTTCATACTAACAGAATGAGTACAGTTTGCCAGTGTGTGTTAGGACGACATTCGGTACTTATTGCTAGGTTCAGTATTTCATTTGAATGAATGCCATTCCGATCCAGTCAGTGCCGAGGCTGCATCTTGCAGCTGCTTAGTGATGGCTCCCTAATTCCCACGGTATTAGGGAGCCGTCTACTAAAAGGCTTAAAGAGCAAAATTGGTCTTTCAGCTTACTTTACTAAGTAAAGATTACTTGGTATTGGTAATTAAAAGAGATTAAAATCCCCCTTCTGCAGGGGCCCTTCTGCGCTCTTATTGGTTGGCTTAAGCCAAATAAGACCTCTAATGTTAAGTAATTTTTTTTTTTTTTTACATGTATTTTGTTGTATTTCTTTTCCCCCTTGCTATTTTTAGGGTGAGGGGGGAATATGTAGGGTTTTATTTTAGTTGGTGGAAGGGGGGGGAGGAGGGAGGAGAGTTAAGTCATATGTAGGGGTATTTTTACATTTAACCTCCACCCAAAGCCCCCCACATTGTCATTATGGTCCTCCGCTGTTCATGGCTGGGTCCGGGGTCCTCTTCCCCCCCCATGGTCATTTCAGACCCCCACCTGCCACTCATGGGTGGGGTATTGGGAGAGACTGTAGGTCCTCCCCTGCCTATTGTCACTAGGGCCCCAACCTGTCGCTGGGGGCGCCAATGGTTCCTCCCCCCCCCATTGTCACTTGGGGACCCCATTTGCCGCTAAATGGTCAGGTATGTGAGGCAATACGTTTTCCCACCCCTATTGTAACCTAAGACAGTAGGTTCTCCCCCTCCCTATTTTCACTAAAGCCCACACACCTGTCGCTCCTGGATGGGTTTTGGGGGGTTATTAGTGCTCTCACCCCTATCTTGTAACTTAGGGCCCTCACTTGCCGTTCATGATTGTGGGGCATTGTGTTTTCCCACCCTTATTGTAACTTAGGGCCCGCACCCGCCGCTCATGTGTGGGGGCTGGGGGTAGGTCCTTCTAATGGATCACTTGGCACCGCGACTGAGTACCTCCACCAAAGGACCACTTCCTAGCTGGACCAGGGGACAAACCGCAGCACTTCTTGCTCTCAGTTGCCGTAGCTTGACTGGGGCCCTGGAACCGCCACCTCCCTCCTGGAGCCGAAGGGGAGATTAGCTCTGACACCTCCAAGCATTGGACGACACTCAGTCCTGAGAACTCTGGAACCGAATGGGGAATTGGCTCTAGTCCTTACAAGGACTTTACCCATTGAACCTCCTGTAAGCTGGAACAGCAGACACAGGAGCATACTTCTTTCACTACAATAACTGGACCATAGGCGTGCGCACGGGGTGTGCCGGGTGTGCCTGGGCACACCCTAATCCCCGTGCGCACCCCTATGGTTTGAGTCCTGCAGGAACAGCGTTCCTGCACTTTTTTTGAGCAGGAACGCTGTTCCTGCAGGCACTCAGTGTCCCCCCGGTCTCACCTCTTGCCCCTGTCATGGGAGGGCAAGAGGTGATGATTCCCCCCCACCCTGCAGGTCAGCGCGCGGCGAGGGAGCTCTCTGCTCTCTGCTTCCTCTCGCCGCGCGCTGATGCCGGGAGCCGGAATATGACGTCATATTCCGGCTCCCAGCTCCAGCAGACAGCCCGCGCGGCGAGAGGGAGCAGAGAGCAGAGAGCAGAGAGCTCCCTCGCCGCGCGCTGACCTGCAGAGAGGCGCCCGCCCCCACTGGACCCCAGGGACAAGTCCACCAGCACTCCAGGTAGGAGGCTGGGTGGACATTTAAAAAAAAATTTAAAATATAATAATTTGTGTGTGTGTGTGTGTGAGTATGTGTCAGTGTGTGTCTGTGAGTGTGTGTCAGTGTGTGTGTGTGTCTGTGAGTGTGTCAGTGTGTGTCTGTAAGTGTGTGAGTATGTGTCTGTGAGTGTGTCAGTGAGTGTGTGTGTGAGTGTGTGTGTGTGTCAGTGTGTGTCTGTGAGTGTGTGAGTATGTGTCTGTGAGTGTGTGTGTCAGTGAGTGTGTGAGTATGTGTCAGTGAGTGTGTGTGTGTGTGTGTGTCTGTGAGTGTGTGAGTATGTGTGTGTTTCTGTGAGTGTGAGTGTGTGTGTCTGTGAATATATATATACACACACGCGCGCGCGCGGCGTGTGTTTGTGCTTTAGGGTGCACACCCTAATGCAATAGGCTGCGCACGCCTATGAACTGGACGACACCGTTTTGGAGTGTAAACAGGAATCTCAGTTTAATGGGACACACTGGACTTTTATACAATTTTCCCAACAAGGTTGACACCCAGGTGGGCCCTGTGGGGCACAGGACACCAAACATGCAAGCCAATAAAAACAGTGTAACAACGAATGACACTCCCACATACATTACACAATCCCTCCCCTCTGCCTGTGATACAATTAAGGTAGATAATACAATAACCTAATTATCCACAGGCAGAAAAACACACATTTTATAAAGTCCCATAAGTACCCCAAAACATAACCTATCCCCATGAAAGCCCTGATCTGGGTGAACAACATATCCAAAAATCACCCAGATCAGAGAAGGGGTTCAGTAAATTCCTGTCTCTTTTGACTTAAAGTCTCTTTTGACTGACCGCATGCATGGTTTCATGCCCACAACAGTTCCAGAGAATTAGGCTGTGAGGCCGGTCTATTTAAAATAGTCAAAGCACCGTTCGAATTACCGAACGGAATGGTGAATGCACATGGTCAATGTTAAAGTGCCGTTCGAATTGTCAAACACTTCAACTCCCGTCGAAGTGCCAGAGAAGGTAACTTTTAAGCGGTGCGGCAAGTAGTCCCCTCCAAGAACTCGTGGCAAACTCACTTGAAAAGGGTATTTGTCACAGTCCTGTTTAGTTGAATACTGGCACTGGTAGGAGTTTGGGGGGACACATTATGTCCTCCTGTTAATTATTTGAATACGTGCCCCTATAGGTACCCTTTTGTTTTTGTACAACATTGAACAGCCACAGGGTGAATTTAGAATAGATCCCTGTCGCTTCTATTTTTTACATATTACGAGGAGGAGCTGTGAGCCTGTAGTAAACTGAAGGAACAAACACATTTGGTCTTTGTTCGTGTGAAATTTCTATTCATTAATTTGTTTTTCTGACGAATTAATGAATAGCCGAAATTCCTGCCTGAAATTCGGACAATAGCAAATGCCCAAGTGTTTAACTGGGCATGCGTGGGAATTTCATAGCACTATCAAGTGTGGGCAGGTGATGTAAAAAAAGTAAACTGGGGGACCTAGGGGCATTTGAGGGTAGCTAGGGGTACAATTAGATGTAGTGGAGTCAGGAGTGGGGGTTAAAAAAACCACAACAAAAAAAACAGATGCGGCCATGACAGTGCCACTTTAACATTATGAAGGAATGTTATGCATGAAAATTAGTAGGTTTTTGTCTGTTCTTCCCTAGGAGAAGCACTTCATAGACAGCTTGAAGAAGGAGGAGCTCTCTGGTTTCCTGATCTTACTCTTCCAGATGCCACCTGGATTCTTCCAGTTTCCTTGGGGCTTGTTAATTTGTTGAATTTGGAGGTGAGACAATACAGTAACAGGAGTCTATTATAATATACATGATATTTTTGCAATAATAGTGCCATCATTTATTGAAATTCAGGTATCACTCTGAACACTGTAATAACTTTGCCTAATTAGAGATTATCTCCATACTCCATACATCTAAATTGACTTTTAGTACATAAACTTAAAGGGATTCATTAGTGCCAGGAAAAAAGCTGTTTTCCTGGCACTGTAGAATCCTGGAGTGCCCCCCATCCGATGTCGCTGAAGGGGTTAAAACCCCTTCAGACACTTACCTGAATCCAGCGCTGATGTCCCTCGGCGCTGGGTCAGACTCCACCCACGCTCCTCCCCACCAATGCCAGCCAGCGGGGGAGACCTAATGTGCATGCACGGCAATGGCAGTGCTCTCATTAAGATTTCCCCATAGGAAAGCATTATTAAATGCTTTCCTATGGGGATTCCGGCGACACTGGAGGTCCTCATACAGGGCGTGAGGACGCCCAGCGTCGTTTATACTACCAAAAGTCGTCTAAGAACCCAGAAGTTCCTCTAGTGGTTGTCTGGTAAACAGCCACTAGAGGAGGACTCAACCCTGCAAGGTAATTATTGCAGTTTATAAAAACTGCAATAATTACACTTGGAGGGTTAAGTGTGATGAGAGTTGGCACCCCAACCACTTCAATGGGCTGAAGTGATCTGGGTGCCTACAGTGTCCCTTTAAGGTTGTTTGGAATTCCAAGTGAATTTAAGGTCAAGTTCAAAATAGCTGGACTGGACCACACATTAATGCAGCTATAAGACTGCTTTCACACATCTAGTGAAGAATTTTCATTTCAAATCTTTGATTAGTGCAGATATTTCTCATCTGGGAGAGTGGCAATCATGGCAGATTGCTGCTCACAACTGTGATAACAAAACTGGAAATTTGGACTATGCATAAATTTATGATTGCTATTATTTTATTGAGCAGTTTCACCCATTCTATGTGATAAGTGAAAATGCAGCTGGGGTTCTAAACAATATATCCCATAAACTTCTGGACAGAAATGTATGGAAACGGACAGGCATAGGCAACATTCGGCACTCCAGATGTTTTGGATTACACCTCCCATGATGCTTTGCCAGCATTATGGGGGATCTAGTCCACAACATCTGGGGTGCCAAAGGTTGTCTACCCCTGGAATAGGATCATCATCATACCCCCCCAGTCCATAATAAGAGGCAACTGATCGGTGAACTGTTTGTTCTGTCCATTAAGGACTTAGATTTCTTTGTGCAAGTGCACCAGCTTTAGGAACTGTGGAGGTAGTTATTTTGTCTTTAATAGATTAAATAAAAAAAATTGTGGAATTCTTTTTTTTTGTGTATTTTCTAAACACATCTATATATTGTAATTCTAGCCTTAACTTTATTAACTGGTTCAGAACTAGAGCTTGAAGGAATTGTTAGATCCTATTACAAAAACATTAAATAAAACTGTAAAACCGGTATTGTGAAATTTGGTTATATATTTTATTTTTTTATTTATTTTTTTCTTGTTTATCCCTACAGATTTTTGCTCTACGAAAAATCAACCTGTCTAAGTTCCAGAAAATATTGACCAATTTTATTCGCATGATATGCATTTTAATGGTCCCAGTTGCTGCCAGTGTTCCTTCTGTAAGTTACTGGAAATTTAGTGTATACCCCATATCATATCAGAGCCAATACCAATTATTGGTCACCTTTTTTGTGGGCCAATTTTTTTTTTATTTTTTTTGTTTGTATAATTATTACTATATTTAATAAATTGAAACATATTTATTTTATTCCCCCCTCTCTGCCTTTTACCAGTGGCCAGAGAGGAGGACACTACACTCCCTGGTGGTCTAGTGGCTTTGTGCAGCTGGCATAGCATCTGAGACCCAGCCCATGCTATCTTATGTTTCCGGCAGCACCTCTCCAGACAGTTGTCGTGTTAACCCATGCTTTGAAGGTCGGCGCTCGCGAGAGTTGAAGAAATAAACAGCTGTAAACAAAAGATAGTGTGTGCTGGGTCACAGGTGCCCCCTCTTCAATGTGAGTGTCACAAGGGAGGTACAACCCCCACACCTACCCCCAGCATAATTTTTTGGCTCAACCGATAATCGGTTCATCTCTAGTTTTTACGCAGGGCACATGTGCATATGTTCAAACCGTGCAATAGTGAGTGACCGCTAATACTTTCCACTTCTGACATGACATTGGTGTAGTTGTTGTTGTTTAAAGCTATGGGCTGGAGGCATCAGTACTCTTTATTTTAAGGTATTGTTGCCAACTGTAGTTACAAAAGTCCTGTGGCTGTGTACCTCCACAACATATATAACATGGCATACACTACCTTGGTGTAACTTTATTGGAAACCTTAATTTAGGCTTTTCATGCACAGTCTCATTAATAACTACAATTGTGGCACTCAGTACAGACTGAAAGCATAGGAATATGTTGTTATAGTTTCACTAGCACTACTGCACAATACACAATGGCCAGAATAGCATTGATGAAGTCTATGCAGGATGGAGCACAGGCCTCTAGTGATCCTCTCCCTTGTAAGCATTACAAGCCATGTAATAGGGAGAGAGCTACTTGGGTAGATGTAGATAAGTCTGAGGAGAGGGCAACAGGAAAGACTGTTAATAGAGAATGTGGTTGAGGGGATGGTCATATTTCTGTTTGAGATGTTTATTGGACATCTTACAAATGTGAGGCAGTAGGGAAATAAAGATGGTACTAGAAGTCAGTGTAAGATGGAACTAAAAATCTGTATGTAACTGGTGCCAAATTAAGATGAAAACCACATGAATGTAATCAGCTTGACACAGAAGACTAACTAGTAATCTATAAATGTAATCTGTGTATGCTGAGTGTTTAAATACAAGGTTGCAAATGCTTTGCTTTGGATATGTATATGTATATGTATATGTATATGTGTGTGTGTGTTTTGTTTATGGGAGCAGCAATCAGTGCATTGCTTTATAAGGATTATACATTGTTGATTATTGGTAATGGTGTTCATAAATATTTGCTTTTATTATTTTAAATAATTCCTGTCGTCTTTTTCTTTTTCAGTCCATGGCACTGTACTGGTTCTCCTCTAGTTGCGTAGGCTTGACACACAATCTTCTACTCCGATCCCCAACTCTCCGGCGGATTTTCAAAATTCCAAAATTGAAGTCCGATTCTGACACTCCCTACAAGGACATACTGTCTGCATTTGTTAGCAAATACCTTCAAAAGAAATGATATATTTTAGCATTAATACATTAAAAAAAAGGTTAAATGCCTCTTTATTTCTATTGAGTTCTGTCTTGCTTGCTGTTCTAGGTACTTTATTTATTTGATTTTTTCCTTTGGATATTTACTGTGTGATAATTAAAGGTGGGTGTCCAAATCAGCTCAAAGGCAATCTAAATTTTAAACGTTCGGGTAAAAACACACTTGCGGGGGCGTGTCGTAGAGGCTGACAAGAACGGACGTGTGAGTGCCGAGCTCCTCCAGTACACAGTGTTCTCAGCAAAGTTACAGCATCTACCCAGCCACAAACGGCCCAGAAACTGCAGGGTATATTTGTATTGCCCCACGGAAAGAAATGACTGCAAAAAAATGAAGCAAAAAACGCTTCAAATGCACCTTACCTCGATCAACATGCAGGAGCTGACAGGACAAGATAACGCCAATGGCCCGAGGTCACCAACCTCTGTCTCAGAAGTAAGTGACACTGCTCATAACATAACTGACCAAACTACCCCAGTCACAACAGCCACTCAAATCTCTACTTGCCGACCATAAATCCACCTTTCACACAAGGCAGTAATCAGGGGTTGCTTCCTTAAACATGCTAGCTATACCAAAAAAAAAACGCCTTGAAAATTACACATACTCAGGGAACTCACTGACACCACGCACTCGAACAAATTAACTCCAACACCCTCACACCATGCCACTATCCTGCGGCTACAGGGTCAACTACGCAAACTTGAATTAGCCAAGTCAACGCTAATGCTGTGAAGAATGAAACATGGCTTCTTTGCCTCAGGCCTCCCAGCTCAAAGAACGTTCCAGAGCCGCAAAAATATTGCACTTCGTGAATGCCAAAGGGGAAAAAAAATACTAGATCCACAACACATAGCGAACATGTTCGCTAATTATTATAGTAACCTCTATAATCTCAATAAAGACCCACATGTACCAACTTCTTCCGCTACTGAGATACATGGGTTCCTATCTAACCTCAAACTCCCCTCTCTGAGCGAAGAAGAAGCAGAATCTCTCCTCATCCCTTTTAGCCTTGAGAAAATTTCCTCCATAATCCATTCTCTCCCGGCGCATAAAGCGTCTAGCCCGGATGGTCTACCTAATTCCTATTACCGCACATACCAAACAACTCTAGCCCCCTATTTACTAAATCTTTACAACCATAGCACACAGAAAGAGACACTACCAGATGAACTGCACCACTATTACAGATGTGTACAAATGAACTTGCAGGATGGAAGGCGGCCCACCTAACGTGGCTAGGTAAGATTAACACGTTCAAAATGATGACCCTCCCAAAACTCCTTTATGTGTTTCGCATGCTCCCACTCCCGATACCCTCCACACTTTTTAAGGAATTACAATCCTCCTGTAACTCATTCATTTTGGGGGGGGAGAAAGAGTGAGACTTCCCCTTAAGGACCAAACTTCTGGAATAAAAGGGAATCGTGACATGTCATGTGTCTTTAAGGGGTTAAACTACTACAAAACACACCTGCTAAGGGAGGGGTGGGCCTCCCCAACATACACCTATACTTCAAAGCTGCTGCCCTGGCATCAAGTATAGCGGCTCACTCACCCCTAGGCCACACACAATGGGTGGACATGGAGAGGGACCAATTTCAAGACAACTTCCTAACAGACTACCTATGGACCCCAAAACACCTTCGAAACGCACACAAAACACTCCCAAGCACCAGGTTGACTATAATGATGTGGGATGCCTTCATGGCCCAAATTGGCTCCAAGCACAAACTACACCTCAAAGCCCCCTTGACGACACTAAAAACCATATCCCAATCACTGTCCCTCCGAAACTGGATACACATAGGTATAAACAGACTTGAGCACCTCCTGGAAGACCGACACAAAGTAATAACATTTACAGACCTGCAACGGTCCAGGACACCTTCAAATACCTACAAGTACGAAGTTTACTGACTTCTCATGCTCTCTCCCCACCAGACACCGATAGCACGAATAACCCTCCTTGTTCATGCTCCGATGTAGGGAAACACCGAACAAACCCAAGGCCCTCTCCATTTGCTATAGGGCATGGCTAGAGATTCAGCCGGATAAACCACCACTGTGTAAATCCCAGTGGGAAAAAGACTTGGGCTCAGACATCTCTGAGGGAGACTGGCTGAGAACCTTGAACGGAATATCTAAATGGACAAAATGCTATTCTCACATAGAGGCCCATAAAAAACTACTTTACCGCTGGTACCTTACCCCAACCAAGCTCCACAAAATATATCCAACAGTGTCTCCCTTGTGCTGGAGGTGTGGGACGGAGGAGGGTTCGATGATACACATTTGGTGGTCTTACACACCTGTGGGAGGATGTCCGAGCAATTCTGAGGCAGTTGGGGCTCCCAACCTTCTCGCCATCCATCTCCGGTTGCATATTAATGCTACCGGATGCTAAGGTCAAACCAATCCACCAACAACTTATAGCATTAATCTCCCAGGCAGCCAGAAATTTCATAGCGACAAATTGGAAAAATACAATATGCCCATCTATGACACAATTGAAAGATAAAATACAACAATATTACATTTATGAAAAAATATATCTCTGGGTTCCCCCTCCCAGGCCCTCAAATTTCAAGATACTTGACATAACTGGACCCAGCTGACGAAGCACAATACCACATGAGCTAACAAACTGGGTACAGCTATTAACCTCTGGAAAACTATATGGTATATAATCCTAGGATGCTTACCGACTAGCAAATTGTTATATGTTCTTTTTCTTTCTATATGTTTCTTTTCCATTATGTTATTGTTTCAGTTTCTGTTTTCATTCAGAGCTATACATTAATATTATGTGCAACTTGCGGGTATATGGCATACACTACTCTGCGTGGTACTCACACCACATCCTAATGTTTGTGTTAGGCCTTGTAAACAAGCAAATATATTATCTGGAAGCAAGCTGCGACTTGCACTTCTTTGACCTCCAATGTTTTAGCAACATGCAACTGTGTATGGTTACTGCTCACTTACTGGAAAACCAATAAAATACAAATTTAAAAAAACAAAACACACTTGCATCTTCATATACAAATATGTAAAATGTCTGCAGCAAATTCTTTTCCAGGAAGCCAAAACATAACCCAAATTGACTACTGTTTGCTTTATGGGTTTAGCTAAGCATTATTCTTGGCCTCCTATAACATTTTGTTGTATGTATGTGAATTAAGGCACACTGGAAGACTAATGGAAAAGCAACAGACAATTTTTATCAGACAAACATCTGGATAAACAGTCAGTTTTTAATTTCTGCCTTTAGTAAAAATGTTTTCATGCGTGCTATTAAGTTGCATTACTTATGTACGTGCTGGCACCGATACTAAAGGCATGCAATTATGTTCACACACATATCGTGCTATGCTTCATTTGGCCATAAAAGGGTTTTACTACCCTTTGAAAAGTATCCAAGACACTTATTAGCAAATTGGATTCGCTTAATTAAAAAGTCCTTTTATTATAGTTTTCCTTTCTAATGTAAATGTTAAATATACCACGCGCTGATTATACAAGATGTGTCAAGAATATATTAACTATATACATCGGGTATGTTTCAAGTCAGTTTACAAATTAATTTATGTCATGGAGTTGATCTTGAGCTGCAAATGTTCCACCGACCTGTAAAATATCAGAATTTTGCATAAAACTGCTATTTAATAAAATGAAATTTGGCTATACATTTGCAAATTAATTATCAAACTTCCCACAAAAATGTCTAAATTCAATACATCATTACCTCATATATTTACGATTTTTAGGTATATCCAATTATTTAATTTAGACTGCTTTTCCGAGAATTCAGCAAAGTTTTGAGGCAAAAATAAAATACCACAATTGTAGTTAATCTTGTGCAGATGGGACTTGCCCCAATTTTGTGTCTGGACTATCCTGCATCAGGACTTAGGACCTCTGCAGCCATCAATACACTTTGCATGAGACCTGAGCAAAGACCAACAGGTTTGCAAGCTATGGGGTTTTCCTTATTCTCTGTGTTTTCAATAATTATGATCACTACCACAGTATTTTTGTAAACTCAAATAATTATAAGACTTAAAATTCAAAGTCCTACAGGGCAAGCAAAGCCTTAGAAGTTATTCACCACTGCAAACCTGGAGACTCCATGACATTTTTTACCAGCGGTGAGAATTCAAAGTGATTTTCAAATTTAAAGGAAAACTCCATTGCCTAAATAAAAATAAGTGTTTAGTGATGTCCCCCCAATGAAAATATGCATGCATTTATTTATGCATTATTTGGTGGGTATATCTAAAAACAGCTTACAAACGATGTAGATATCTTCTCTGAAGTCACAAACTTACTAATACAGCTCAATGATAAGTCTTTTAAAGACAGATACTCTGGGCAATTGCCTGCCTTTTGAACTTAGCTCCACTGAGCTAAACAAACCAGATAATAAGACTGTTTTTTTAATGATTGACAGCCATGGAGTTGTCACAAGGTTAATTTATTTCTATTGAAATCTGCACTTTTTGTACCATGAAATAAGAGGACACACTCTTCACACATACAATACTCCAGAAAGCAGAAATGTTTTAGGGGCATGCAGTGTCCCTTAAAGGTAACACTATAGGGTCAGAAAAACAAATGTGATCCTACAGAGTTAACACTAGTTAGATGTCCTGGTTGTGCATTCTTGACTGTAATCCTGAGCACTACAAAAATAAAGAATATAAAAAATCTTTTCTTTTCAAACTAGAAAACAACCAACACTAAAGTGAGAACTCAAAATGAATAAGTAGAAAACTCATCTTTATTCCTGCACCGCAAGGGTCCACCAGGACTGACCCCATCTCTCATCTGCCTCCTTCCCAGAGATCATCAGAATCATCCTCCGTTGGCCTGAGAAGGCTGGCAGTTGTGTGTGGTCATGGACTATTTGAGTGTGTGCCCGAATGAGACCCGCTTACTGCCCGGACTCCGCTCCCCCAACCTTGAAGCCATGATGAAGTAGCCAACTGGCGTGCCTCCAAGGAGGCCCAAAAGCAATCAAAGTGTTCCTCAAGCCTTTGTAATAATCAATCAGCTGGATTCAGTAAACCTAGCCGCTTATGGTTGGGGGCAATAGATCCCCTCCATTATCTCTTAGGGTCCGCACCCGCCGCTCATGGTTGTGGACAGGGGGAGGACGATGGGTCCTATGAGCGGTGGGTGGGGACTGGGGGGGGAGGACAATAGGTCCCCCCACCCTATTGTCATTTAGGGCCTCCACCCACCGCTCATGGGTGGGAGACCCTATGTCCCCCGTTTAGTTGAATAGTACCCACTTTGGGGGGCACTATTTCCCCTACCAGCTAGTTAATAGATGCCCCACCCACAGGCTGCTCACTGTTTAGTAGACATGCCCCTACCTGCAGCATAGAGAGTAGGAGAATTCAGGAGAATTCAATCTCCGTTGGGCAGCTGACGTGTCCCACAGGGTCTTCATCTGCCCACACAAAGATGGCGGCTCTCAGGACTTAGGTCCAGACACAAAATAAAGATGAAAAATAAGTAATATGGGCGGCATTTGGAGGTGACTAGAGGGGCAATTAGATGTAGTGGAGTCTGGAGGGGGAATAAAAAAAAAAAAAAACAGATGCGGCCATGACAGTGCCGCTTTAACAGCAAACTAGCTATGTAGACAGCTCTTCATTCCCAAGTAGAATAAAGCAGGAAAGCAATCTCTTTGTATGAATAGCTGTTGCAGTCTGAAATGATCAGATAGGCAATACTATGGTCTCAATTCAAATAATCACAATCACTTATAACAACTGCAGAAAGTTATTTTATCAGTCATGCCCTGCTTTACAGATTGCAGTGTGGGACACTTTGCATTCCACTTCAGTAAGCATGTGCACGTTAAAATGCATTGAATGGTAAAACAATGCCATCTAGTGTTCAATTTTATTAAGCAACATTGGTGAATTTACAGCCAAAATTACAATGACATTTACAGGGTTATCTAGTAACATGTAAGGAATTCAAAGTGAATCTAAAATTTAGCCCAATAAATTTGGAATCGGAATGTCTCACAGGGTTTTTAACCCCTTAAGGACTGTGGCAGTTGTACTAGTTGTGATCAAAACAAAATATAAACAAAACCTGGAATTAGCGCTATATGTCTGTTCAGGCGTAATTCACCTCTTTCACATTACGTGCACCCACACTTATTATATATCATTGTGTGCAGGAGAAACAGGGATTTCATGTCACATCAAATATTTGTATATTAAACATAATGTAATATGAATAAAACATAGAAACAATTGAGAAATTAAGAAATTTTTTTTTTTTAGTTCTGCATGGCATTTTAACTGTGAATGTCACAATACTGTTATATGTGCTTTATTACAGTAACAGCTATTTGTATTCAGCATTGTCTCACAAGTAAAACTGTACCCTCAATGTACAGGTTTTATGGTGTTTTGGAAAGTTACAGGGTCAAATATACCACATTACAGTTTTCAGTTTATACATATTGAAATTTGCCAGAATGGTTATGTTGCCTTTGAGATCAAATGGAAGCCCAGGAATGAAAATTACCCCCATGATTTGCAAAAGTAGACAACCTAAAGTATTACAAATGGGGTATGTCCAGTCTTTTTTAGTAGCCACTTAGTCACAAACATTGGCCAAATTTAGCATTTATATTTGTTTGTGTGTGAAAAATGCAAAAAAACAAATGTGAACCCTAATTTTGGCCAGTGTTTGTGACTTCTAGTGGCTACTAAAAAATACTGTACATAACCCATTTGCAATACCTTGGGTTGTCTACTTGTGCAAATGGTATGCCATCATGGGGGTAACTCTCATTCCTGGGCTACTATACGGTCTCAAAGCAACAGGGCCGGATTGGGCAGATCCAGGTAGACCCCAGGATTACGACCGCTGGCGTGGGATTGGCGAGGACTTTGTAAGTTTGAAGGATGGCGGGGATGTTCTATGCCACCCACGGGCGTTTAGAACCACCCCATAAAAGATGGCATAGAAAACTCGCCGTCCTTAAGCGTTAAGGTACATGTATAAATAAAAATATGAAATTTGTGTAGAAAAAAACCACACTAATACTACTAGATGCATACTTGCAACAGCAGAATATTCAAGGAAATAATTTTTCAATGTAGGGTAATAACTGCTTGATCCAAGGATAAATCTGACTGCCCTTCTGGGGTCAAGAATGAATTTTTTTCCTAGCTTGTTGCAAAATTGGAAGTGCTTCAGACTGAGTTTTTTTTTTTTTGCCTTCTTTTGGATCAACAGCAAAAAACAAATGTGAGGA